CAAAATCAACAAGGTCTCATCATCATACTTTGTATCAATGTCACGATTTTCATGAATAGATGAATCAATCCATAAAACATACTTCCCACAAGTTCTAACAACACAATTCAATGATCTTCTAGTAAAGGATTCTAGCTGATTTTCATTATCTAAGATAGATACTTGAGGCTCACCAACAATAAGTTGCTCCTCAGAATCTTGCTTTATCTGAACTAGAGCTTCTACTTCTGTCATTCTTAATCACATAATGATCAAACTTCCACTCAACAACATTTTTGAGTTGATACTTTTTTTTTATAAGTATGAAAAACTCTCATCCTATTTCAATGATTTGGATTCATAGAAAGAAATATCCTTGTTGACAATAACTTTACATGCTACTACATCCCATAGCCTATAGTGCTTCAAACCTCTATCATATCCAAAAAGAAATGGCACCTTTTGGATGTAAAGTATCATTCACACCTATTTTTGTTTGAATATGAGAGGATAAACATCACAATCAAATATTTTCAAACGACACAATCAACCATTAGTTTGTGTTTCAATTCAAGCAATATCAAGAAATTGATTGCATTAGAAAGAGAAAGGTTTATCAAATATACTATGATATTGACAACTTCACTACTAAATATATATGGTATAAAAGATTGTCTCAACATACTAAGACATTCTTTAACACTATTTGATTAAGCCTCTAAAAGAAAACGGAGTGTAAATTGTGGTAAAAGTAAACGACGAGTAATTGCCTACTCTTTGCAGTAATTTTGAAATTTTTCATAAATATACTCCTTGTCATCTAATACATCTAGATTGAGTCAATACATTTTTGGAGAGATCGCTAAGAAAATACATAAAAATACTAGTACACAAAACACAACAAGTAAATGGTTAATTTCCAAGTCATGGCTACGTCCACAAGAATTTCACTAATTATTAAGTTTCAAAGGCAAAAAGTCATTGGACTTCACATACTTGTAGTGGCAACTAAGACTTGACTGACGTTCATTATTCAAGATTAATTAAACCTAAAATTAGAGTTAAAGTCCTAAACTATGAGAAAACACCCTACAACTTCAAGTTTGATGAAGAAATTTTAGTTGAATCATGAGTAAAGAAAATATATGTACGATAGCTCTAATCATTTTCATATGTCTAGAATATAGTTCAAATCAAATCTCAAATGTTAAATCATTGTAGTTTAGAATTGTAGTTTTAGATGAAATGCATAGATTACCTTTTGTATAATGAGATTTCATATATGCATTTTATATACACGTTCGTCAAATGCTTCAAGAGTATATAATATGCTAAGATTTTAAAAACCATCATTATGTATTTTTCTGTAATACTATCGATAAAACTTATCATATTTCCACTCACAATGTTCCATGTGTAATCATTCTCAAATGTCTCCAAACATATCATTTACGTTTATATAATATGATTTGTAAAAAGTATACTCCAACATATTCATCAAAAGTATTTAATTTATGAATTGATTTAACAATTACAACTCTTAGGCACAGACAAAATTCTGAGAATGTATAGAATTTCCTAATGATAATAAAGTGAATCATTTTGATAATCACTCACATCTAAAAATGAATTTTTTAGAATAAATATATTAGTAGAGTTTTAATTCTTGAACTTAAAATCTCATCAAGAATATTCATCATCATTCTATTTATGAAATCAATAAAATATAATAAAAATGAACATATTAAAACAGAAAATAATTATTACTTTTATGAAAAAATTCAAATTGAATTCTTTATCATAACATTTCAACAATTTGTAGAAATTTTTAAGTTTAAAAAATCTCAAAATTTAAGTTCAATTTTATGCTTGAATGTTTTTTGAGTAGTTAGTAACATTGGATAGAATTAACAAGCTAAGAGTCTTGCATAAAATTATAGAATATTACTATCTTTAACATGCATATAATCAAATGAGCCATGAGTGTTGCATAAAATCATAGAAAATTATTATCTTTTACATCCATATAGTCAAAAGAGTCAATTGATGAATATTAATAAAGTACGATTCACAAAATAGTTATTATTACAGATGCAATGTTATATATGTATATCTTCATACATTAATTTTTATTTTACATCAGAGCAATGAAATATGAAAATGCTAAATTAAAGAAACGTAAAATGAAAATGATTAAATTTGGAAAAAATTTGATTATTTGATCGACACTATTACAAAATCTCTTCATATTACTAAGTTGTAGTGATCATGTCAACCATATGAAACACTATTGTTCATATTAACTATGTGATGAGAAGAATACAAAATGCATCAAAAAGTCGATTGAAAATGGAAAAAAACTTAGATAAAATTTCATTGTAAAGATTATTGAAAACGATGTTTATCATTATGAAAAGAGAAACAATATTATGGCTTGTAAATTGTTTGCTCAATGCAGTATTGATGTTTCAATCAAATAATCTATAGTTCAGAATTGAAAGAAAAAAAAGTAGCTTGAAATAATAAATCCTCAAATCATAAATAAATAAATAAAGTTTGATATGTATCAGAAATCAAAAGTCTAACTTGAACAACATCATAACTATCTATATTGATGTTTTAGATTGTGTGAAAAACTTGTTACGTATAGTAATATTGGGATGATTATTACCTTTCTTTTTCATGGCTTCTAGGCATACATACATCCATGCATAATTTGCTGAAATTTTTCCTCAAATGTGAAAAAATGATTTACTTCAGCAATAAACAAGATGTATCATTTTTTAGTTGAAATTTTGTGCAATTAGTTCAATTGATTCAGAGAAAAACCTTGCTCAATAATAAGACTTTTATGTCTTATTAATTTGTTGTTCAGACGTATTAAATCTGCTGGATTGTATGCAATATACTGTACATACAATATATTTATGAGGATTTTATTTATCGAGTTTGTTCGAGATCAAAAAGAAGAAAATAACACGAAAAGGATAGGGGCTGGTGACAGAGCTGGTATCCACTGGGGTGTCCGGTGAACGGACATTCAAGCATGCGATCCCCCGACTGCACAGGGCGAGAGGTGGTCGTTGCTCGGTTGCCCGCCTCACGCGTTGCCCTCTACACTATCACCACCGACATTTTCCATTCCGGGAAGATCTCATGTGGCGACCCCACGCTTCGGGTGGACACGCCATCCACATGCCGCAGCCGGTTCCAGTGGAAGAGCCCTGCTCCACAGCCTCCAACTCCCGCTCGGGTTACAGGCGGCCGCTAACCCACCCAGATGTGAGGTCTGTCGAAAATTCACACTATATAGTTCTTGTTTCAGTCTCTGCTGTGCTTATGGGTTTTTGTCCTGTGCCTTGCAGAGCGACTGGCCTATGATGAACAGGTAGAATAATCATTTACTATTAGTTCTTAAGTTCAAATAATTAGTCATAAATCATAAAATATATATGTTTTGGATGCCAAAAAAAATGTGAAATATTATGTTACAAAAATTCTCATTTTTATGAAAGCAGGTTACATTTCAAAATACACAAAAAAAATTATTTGACTTCTTATGTCTTTGCAATGTCTCCTTAATTTCACATTTGGACTCAAAATATAACTCAATTTTCAATAAATTTCAATGATATTCGATCATTATATGATCCTTTTCTGTAAATATTCATATAATCAGACATAAAAGTTTTAGAACATATCTATACTTGAATTATGTATGTATAGATATTTTAAACAAGTTTGAATGTTGTCTTATTGTTTCACAAAAATAATAATTTTATTTATACTTTTCCTGATAGGGGCTGATACTCCCACCCTGCTGAGTTGCTTTTCCCCTTGTCTCACCAAAAGCATCAATAGAAAAGAACAATTATCCAAGACTTTTTCTTATCTGGTTGCTAGACAAAAGAGTATACAGCCTTCTGCAATTGTACTTGGAGGGTTTTTTCTGGATAGAGCAAGTGCTGGTTTATTCCGTAGAGGTAACCATCACTTTCTGATACAGGTTATGAGCTTGAGATGTATCGTAAAACTCCATAGCTATAAGATTGAGGTGATGAAGCCTAGTATGGCAATCTTTCTCTTCTCAGTAGCTTTTCCTTTAGCAACCATACGAATGCTGTCTCTAATTTGATTGAAAACTAGCAACGTCTAAGATTCCCTGACTGATAAGATTGATGAATACAACCCGGTTAGTAACTTACCCCGGGTTCCAACGTGTTTGAAGAGATAACCATCATAGAGGTAAAGAATTATTCGACGCTGGTACTTCTAAGCAGCACATTGTAATAGCCCTTCGGCCGCAGCCGTTTATCAATGCAACAGCGCTCGTCGGTTTCATCGAGTTTGTTTGCCAGCCTAAAGGCTAAAAGGTCCCTGAGCATCAGGTCTTTCTAGTTACGGTTAGAAGGCACCAGGAGGGATCTGATTACACTGTTTCAAATTCCTTATATATCCTGAACTTTAACACCAGATGCTTCATTGTATGTGACAAGATACGTTACAACTTGAACAGCCGTGCTTAATAAGCACCATTTTGGGGTCTTGAGAGCTCCATAAGTCATGATCCATCCACGAGTCCGCATGGAAGCCGGAAGTTATCGGTGGATCCAGATTCTTCAGACTCACAATAAGGTCACCTTCTGTGACAAGGACGAATCGGCCATTTGGTGAAACCAGTAACGTTTAACCCGATCAAACTTTTTCAGAGACAGCCAACAGATGCACAAAACTGTTCTCCTGATATAGCACGAAAGGTCTATGGTTTTGGCCGATCCGTGGTTACGTCTTCGAAGACGCATTTGTGAATTGGCAACAAGTACTAGGTGATTCACACTTGGGCTACTACTGCCCAAAATCGAGTTTAGCGTTCAATTCCCTTTCCTTGCCATGAACGACAAGACGACATCCTATCTGAAATTCACCTTCCACTATTCTGCGCAATTGCTACTAAACCCAGACCATTCCGACGAAACATTTCTACCATACTCCTCCAAGGACATGTGTACTCACAGAGATTTACACCGACTGAAAACACGATCCAAGATATTAAATACGTCCAAAGGGCAACAAGGGATCTAAGTGGCTGAAGAGAGGTTTATGAACATACGAATTATAGCTACCCAACTTTAACGTCAGCACACAACTAGTGCTAGGGGAGAGAAAAGGTTAATCCCCTTGACAATATTTCGGCAGTACGGAGTTCAATTGATCGCGTGGCTACACAAATCCTGTATACAATTCGAAAAGACAGCGGCATCTTACTAAAATTGGTCCACTGATATAATGAAGTGAAACATCATTACAACCTGAGTTCGTCCATATCGAGTGAACAAGTCGATGAAGCGAACAGCCTACCGCGCAGAGCACAATTGCTGCCAATGGTGAGAAACAAAATAGAGGCCGGCCAACTATTGGAGAAAGAAATGAAGGCAACTGATGAATAGTTAGGGTTGAAATACGGGCAACCTATTATCAACTAACAGTCCGAAAGATCTAAATATCGTACGGGGCATCAACGAGAGGCAACCCGCCTCCAACAACGCTGTGCTGCACCGTATTCTCTTCAGGCTCCCAATTTCAACCGCCTAAAACAGTAGAACGAAGCCCCAATCTTCGCCTTTCTGAGAAGCTCGTAATGATGTCAAGCCTAGGTTTGAACTCTTTTGTGACTAGAACCTCCCATTGACTTCTACAACATCGTTCAAGGTAACACATGTGTCCTTGTTATCCATTTACGCTCCGTCGAAAAGAGTAGGGCGATATGCATTGACCAGAATCCCGCCTGGCCCTCCTGGCGGGACCGATATCTCCTTTCTCCACTGCTCTGGATTTCCACCCTTTCTTTGGGACGAGGTCAAAACTTCGACGTTTACAGGTCAAACTCATCATCCTTCAATTGATCTTGAGTCAAAATTTCCTGTTCCTCTTCCTCTTCCAGAACAAAGTAGGGGTTGTGTACAACAGGCCTAAACTTGTACCCTGTGAAGAGGTAGAATGCAAGGCTTGCAAGCTCCTCGGCCAGATCACTAGTCCATCTGTAGTGGTAGGCGGTGACCGTGGTGACTGCGAAAACAACAATTCGGGTGAAGTAGATGTAACTGACGACGACCATGTAATAGTGTCGGAACAGAGTGAGCTTCACTACATTCCTCGCCGCCTTCCCGTCGGTGTGTGAAGCTTCTCGGAGGTGCTTGATGGACCACACAATGGGGAAGAGGACGGCACAGCAGCAGATGATATCCAATAGAAGAAACACCTGCTTCCAGGTGAACCAATCTTTGGTGGAAGGACCAGTTTCGTCAATGACTATACTGGCCACATTCGCGAAAACCTGTAGAGGGATGACTACCATGAGGACCTTCTTCTCTTTCTCCTGCAAGTAAGGCTTCAGGAAGGACCAACCCGTGCCAATCAACACAATCACCGTAAAGAGCATGACTCCTCGCAGAAACCCGAAGATGTAGAAAGCAATGTCCCATCCGTGCGCCAATCCAGTCTTCTTAATGTACGACTTCTCCGTGGCTTCGGCCACCAAGTTGAGGGCCTTAAGGAACACCAGAACTCCCATGAGAATGTGGATCCGGTGTACGGTGTCTCGATGCTTGACGCAGGTGTAGATCCACACCCCAAGCAAAAATACGTAGATCACGAAAAAGGAAAAGAAGAGTTTGGGTAGCTGCGTCTGGCCCGCAGGCAGGTAGTCGGGGGTATTGGATTTACCCTCCAGATTGTACATCGCAGTTCTCACATCCATTGAAACCTGACTACGACGCAGACAGTTCGCGAAGAACAGAGTGTATTCATTCGCATCGGGTGGGCTCAGAGATCTGGTGAAAGTTTCCGTCAGCTTGACCTCTTTCAGGGTGAACAAGGTTTTGATTTGGCTGTTCTTCAGAACGCAGGTCTGCGACATTTGTTCCTCAGTCTCCACGAGAACGGCTACTAAATCCTCCTCGGTAGTAAGAAAAAATCCAAGCATGTCATAATCAGCCTCCGAGGCATCGTCCATAGTGACCTGAACATTACTGACAGTGATGTTGATCTTGCCGTTCCGATCGAAACCAAATTTCTCGAACATTATCATCTGCCGGTTGTCATCTCGGATCTCGGACTGCCTGATCTCCGCCAAGCAGGACGAAACCAAAGCCAGCAACACAACGGCGACCACTCCAGCGAGCGTCATCCTCCTCCCCGCCATTACGGCCTACTCCTGGCTTCGAGTCCGACTCTCCTTCCCGCCCGGACACCTCTCGCCCTCCACCTGCCTCCCTCCCTCACGCTACAGCCATACCCAAATCCCTCACGCTCTGCTCGCTCCGCCCCACCGTCCCGCTCGCTGCTCGACGATCGCTCGCTCGACGAACACCTCGGCCAGAAACCTGCACAGCATCACAGGAGCCGCGCCATCTGCGGGCACAAATGCTCCCCGTCAAGAAACGATCGACCACTTCCCACCTTTTCCCTCCGACCTCCTTCCTCCTCGTGCGCCGTTCCCTCCCCGCTATCGATATGCTCAGCTCGCTCGCCCTTCTCGCCTCCCCTCCCCTCCCCTCCACTTCCCGTCGTCTGCCCTCGTCTCCCCTCGAGATTTCTTCGAGACCTCTCGGAGGGGACGACAGAAGAGAGCACAGCCTTCTCACCTCGCCCTCGCCCTCGACCTCTCCCCCTCTCCCCCTCTGGCCTCGGGACTCTTCTCTCCTCCTCGACCCGGCCCGCCCTAACTGGGCCGGGCCGGGCATGGTCCTTGTCCTTGTCGTCTACCCACGACCTCGGTGTGCTTACGTACGGCTGTACGGTGCGCACCGTTCATGCGCCGCAGCGGGCGAGCGAGTAGCCCTCCCGGTTATGTTCGAAGCTTGGGACCGGTTTCCAACAGTCGACGTTGAGCTCTGCATATGGCAGTTTCCCGGTTTCCCGGTGTCCCGGTTTTGCCCGCTGTCTTGCCTCTGGACGGGGCGGGGGCGACTGCACCATCGAGAGAGGAGGAGCACGAAGAGCTTCGGGGCGTCGTCGTCGTCGTCGAGCTGGTGCGAAGAGATTGCTTGCGGCTTGATGGTTCTTCCCATTCTTCTGTTCAGAATTTCTCGCTCCTTCAGATTTGAGTTTCTCTGGCCGCATTCTTCCTCCTCCCTTTCGACGATCGTTCGTGTGATCATTTTCGTTTCGGAGATTCTTCAGACTATGGAGGGAGCAGAGCTTCATCGCTGCTGCTGGTGGAGAGCAAGATCCATGGCTGAGGTGGGGTGACGATGAAGATGCCCGGCAACTTGGAGAGCTGAGTGAGTAATATTTGCCTATGTGGGGTTTACTTTACACGAATCTAAAGACGTGGTATTCAAGGCAGATGAGGGCCAAGAAGTCCATGCGAAGTGATGACAAAAAAGCCAGTTTACCTGCTGGCATCTTTGCTGGTTGGACTCCAACTTGGACTACAACAACGACGGTGGTCAATCCTCATTTGTGAATTCGGGCTACTACTCTTTATAAGATTCCTTCACTTTACTTCTTGACCAACATCGCTCTACTTCGAACGTTCTGGCATCTCCGCAACCAATCTAGAGAACCAAATCGCGATAACAATCAAGAATATTAGAATCAGTTCGCTGGATGTAAACTTCTCAATCTCGAAAATTTACCCGAGAATATCTCCATGTATCCGAAGTGCCTATCCTCATGAGCACTCTTCAACACGGAGAAAACATATTGATTAGGACACAAAGTGACATTTTTCCAATAGAAGCGATGGGGTGATCTCCTCTTCTGGGAGATATAACAGCAGCTCACAGACTAGCACCATCGTTTTCGAAGGTTTACAGTCAAATAGTATCGAATAACTTTCTCTAGGTAATGAACTCAGAGAGTATGATTAGGGTTCAAACACGGATTGAAACATGTGTGAGGTTCGTTGGACTAAAGTTTGTTTCTCTGCAAAAACTTGACTCTTGGTTGTCTGTGATAACTAGAGATTCTCACTAGAACACATGCCTACGGTTGATAATGGAACGGTCTCCAATGAGTAAGAAATATTTTAATTTGACATTTTTTTCCACCATGACGTCGCTGTGGCGATTGAAAACGAATCCAATTACTACTGGTGGCCCTCACTCTTACAGACAGGGAACATGTCTGCGAACGATGTCGACTGGCATTTTCCTTGATCGGACGAAATCTGACCTGCTGGGCAACGCGGTGTTCTCGTCAGAGAGGAGCGTAGTACAGTTCCGGCATGGATTTGTACAAGCGGATTGAGCCATTGACCATGTCAGAGTAGCCACATGGAAGAAGTCAGTGACCACCTGAAATCCAGTACATCTAGATCTTCATTATTCCAAACTCACTACTAGCTACGGCAATAAAATGAGTTAGAGTCGGGATTAGTTATTGTTGAATAGTTTGGGCATTTGCATATTTAGCATTTTAATGTTGTTTGGTTTCAGTGGTACCCATATTGTATATTATAGATATCTGTAAAGATCACTTAGTAAATTTGGCATTCTTTAGGTTTTAATTTATATTTCTCAAACTATTGACCTGGGTTGGATCTACATAGTTCCAGTTTGGGCCTTTTCATGCTTTGGTTATTAAAAATTGTTTGGAATATGTGAACAATTATCATGCTGATAATTGTTTCCACACCGGAGGTGGCATGTATGAGGTTTGTGTAATTGCATGTGGGAGTATATAATAATGGAGTGTCCATGGAGGGTCATAACTTTGTTTTTGCAGTAGTTATGACTTTAACTTTCTTCATGAGCACTTAAATGTATGTGTCATGTGCAAGGCTTGATGAGTTTGTTTCTATTAAACTTCGTAATTCTCCACATCATGTTAGAAAGATTCACCTCTTGGGATTGTTGTGTCATATGGACATAATGAATAAATAATCACTCAACTGGAAGCTAGACAAATGTAGTTCGATTTTGAATATGTTGAATGCAGTGTTGGAGTTTGATGCTTGATGAGTCAATAAATTTATCGTGTTCAACAACGTGAAACTTTTTAAAAGACATGATACTCGTAGTGACGGTAAGTGCTTCGCTCCTTACGGGATCTGAACATGTGTATTCGACGTCCAAAAAAGTTTTATTTTTTCGCTTCGCAAGGAGAAAACAGATGTCAAATGTATAAGATCTTGAGCATGCTGAGCGACTATAACTCAGTTGCCTCTGTTCATATTTCTGTCTTCTCTTTAAAAATAAGTCTTCTTTTCTATCTTTTAGGTTCCATCAATGGAAAAGATCTTGATTTCTAAATTTGGATACTCACCACAAAATTGCAATATCGCTCATTTGCTATCCATATCCCATATATACTCTAGCATCGTCGCATATATGTGATATACCAACCAAAGAAAAAATTAAAGTTAGAATTGCAAACAATAAAGTATCTAGTGATTCAGCAAGTTACTTCAGGTGTTTGCATAGGCCGTAAAAAGGAAGAGCATAATTTTCACTAGAAATTTTTTTAAACAATATTCGAGCGGAGAATTTAATCCAATAGGTGGTGTGATCCGAATGAACTAAAAGGTTGAAATGAGGTCAAATATTATTAGGATGGATATCCAATGCAGCATACAGCTTGTAGCAAGTTTTCTAACCTGATTGGATCAACTATGCTAAAGGTTCAGTTGGTTGAAGGTTTTATCACGCAGTTGATCAAAATCATTTGGGACAAATTTCTACTTGTATTGTGAAGGCATTGGAAGTTAGAAAGGGGTTGATGAGAAAATTGTTATTTGCATTTTATACATTCAGTCGTGAACATGAACTCTTGCATGAAATCCTTACTCTGCAAAGAGAGAAGAAAGTTTGAAGTGGTGAAGTACGTGTCGAAAAATTCAACCAATGTCTGTGCTGTTAAAAGTAGATTTTATTCCAGAGGAGAACTAACTCCAACTAACTCTTATCCCCAAAACTCATGGGTTAAAAGTGAATGAGAAATTAGCTTATTAGTTCTCGTGTACATCGTAGTTTAGGTAAAGTTTACATCGAGTAAACTAGTTCAGGACATAATCATTATTTTTTATTTATTTTTACTTTTACTTTAAAAACTTAAAATGATGTTGTATATATTGAGACATACATTATAATCAATATAGTGGGTGATCAGCACATGATTATTCTTTGGTGCCTTCGCATCCTTTCGGTCATATTATCGGTGCCCTGGTTTCGATCATGAAGGACTCGAGGAGTGGTGCTGGGCCTTTGACCGGCGTAGCAAGTGGAGCCGGGAGCATGGGTCCCAGTCAGCTGGGTCCGCGGGATCGTCCGGCGACTGGTGAGATGCGGTCCTCTTCCTTGTCCCATGGATTATCGGAGTCGTGAGGGACTGCGGGACTGCATCGGATGCGCTTTAATGAGCCACGAGGCGCAACGGGAATCGAAGAATACTCGGACTACGATCGATGCGCATCGAGCTCCAATCATCGAAAGCGTCGCCCTCTTTCTTCAAACAATTGTGTGTCCTGTCCTCAGTCGAGCTTTGTGCTCCTCGCTCGCTCCTTCTTTACACACTCTGTTATCAACCACAAGTCCTGACGTCCCGACTTGACTTTTAGGGCTCATCTGCAATTTCCTACAGCTTTGCGGTGCTTTTCAGAGCATGAGACATGTGTTCTTTTCCCATGCCTCTCGGAACTAATCGTATGCGTTATACAGCTCAATTATGAGGTGTGTAGTTCATGCTCTTCCGTACTTTGTCCCCATTTTTCTCGTTCGATGTATTGTCGGCATCCCATCATCCAGGCAGGATGACAGTCAGGAGGAAGTGGTATACACTTGGAACATAGGAAAAACAGCGGAATTTGTAAAGATCGACGACACTGAAGCCCAGCCCCACACTCAACTTGCCGGGAAGTTCGTCGATCAAGAGAAACTGGCTAGCTGCTGCTACAAGAGGAGTACTTCCCAATGGTTCTTCCATTCCTTGGTTCTATTGGAGCAATCTAGTCCCTAAGGACGTGTTTTACACAGAGTACGGACTGTCACCTCCCAGTTCCCTGGGCTCGCAGGTATCCAAAAACAACCGTCTCGCAAACTGCTGGTTTCAGCTTACCGAAGCGATGCCCAGCAAGAACAGGCCCAAGGGCTTGATATAATATCTTCACATCTGCGAAGATGTTTGCACTCTCTTCCAGATGACCTCTTGTGATCATTTCTTGTCTCAAAATGCTCGTCAGTCGAATAGTTGAGTTGGACTCGGTCCTTGTTGAGTCGAGCAAACCAGTGCGTTCGCTGAAAGGGCTGCCGTTGTCAACCCTCTGGGCTAGAAAGATTCACACGCAATCGATCATCATCATCATCATCATCTTCAGTCGGGTAACATCCACATGAAAAATCTAATCATGAAAAACCTCCCCCTAGCATCAGCTTACGTCTCTAATCCTGGTCTTGGGAGCTAGATCGAGAGCACTTCGACTTTAAACCCAAAAGTTGCAACATGGAAAAGCTCGAAGTTTGGTGTTCTAAGATTTTTGGTTAAAAAAAATTGACCGCAACAAGCGGGAGAACGGAAGAACCATGTCTCCAGTCTGGAGATGGCAGTCGAGGGGTTAGAGTAGTGATGATCATACAGCTTGGGCCGTGTTAAAAGCTCTTTCGCTGGCCAGGCCCTGTGATTGAACGGAAGCACAGGAGATGATACCTTTTGTTTCGCTTTAGAAATGCATGTTCACAGATTTTACTGATTTGATTGCTCCTGAGGTTTTGGCACTTTCTGTGAGTTACAAATATCCCCGGGGCCCAATGTCACACTATGTACTCACTACTAAAGCTGACCTCGTGGCCTACCTCCTCACCCGGACGATACCATGCTGCGCTTGCAACAGACCATTATTGGTTCCATCCACTCAGAGCTTGTCAGGGGTTTTTCTCCGTACATTACCTCCCACAACTAAGTGCGAGGCACCGATATTGGTACTGTACTTCAGGTCTGAGACACTCGGCGACCCTCATCAATATTCCCAACAGTTCCGACAAAAGAATCTACACTCTTCGGAAAGTCATACATTCAAAGTACTCTAATTTGCAGCAGTTCCAGCATTGGTAGCGTGTGAAGCTCTTACAGTTAACTTCATACGCAGCACTACCTGGTCATTCATGGGCCCACCACAAAGATCTCTGAGATGACAAAATTCGCTATGCTAAAAGGAGTGACGACAGCATCAAAGTCATTTCGTTGGACACGAATTTCCACTCTAGGAAATTACTTGCGAGACAATTCACGAGGTAAGACGAACGATCTGACACGGTGCAACACAAGGTTACCTCACATTGGCTGAGAATCACCTATAAGTGTAAATCTTGGACCCTCAAAATGGGAAAACGAGTGACAGGGATAAACACGTATCTTTTCGGTAAATTGCTTGAAGACTGGGAAGTTAGGAAAGTGTTCTGCAACTGTATTGACTGTTGAAGACTCTTGCTTTGTTCAGAGTACATCTATACAGAGTTGACGAATTGATGTGTCACGTTCGTAGCGGTAAAGTTCTCGGTCCCTTCCCAGAACATGTAAAGAGATGTGCACTCAAACTGTTGAAATGATAGTGTCTCCTTTCGAGAACCCTTGAACTATTAGATGAGAATGCCTCGACAGTGGGTTCCTACAGTATGTGTCCAATGCGACCAATGATTTTTTTCTACTACGGCGTGGCCCTCACTTTATCCATTAACAAACTTGATGGCCCAGGGCATCCCCATACGACTCAACTTAGAACGAAGTATACGGCCTTGGATCAGTTCTTCTCTTTGAGCTTGATTACGACAGATGCAAAGCTTGCGAATACCGTCTTGCTACCGTATGTGGTCCAACCGTATCAGATCATACTTCTTACGTTTGTGTGGAGACCAACATACTCACAAGCAGCAGTAGTTTAACCAACCGAGAATTCACACTGGCACGAACTCATTGCAACATGGAGACATGACCTCAAAACTCTTCCACTGCAGAATTGGGTTGCAACAGTGTCCGATCATGACACTGCAGCCTGTAGATGACCGTCAATCATACGCGACCAAAAAGCAGGAGCCAACCATCGTTAACACTTTTCAGGATATGAGCAACGACACGATTGAATATAGAAAAAAATCAAGAATCCAAATCCCACTGGGTTCTCTTCACTTGCTTAAGAAACCCCAAATTCCCTTCATGTACAGAGCCAGTGACCATAATGCAAGACCCGCGGCAATATAAAGAAGCGCGATACCCAAATAGCTAGCGATCTTCGAGTCCAGCCTGCTTATCATCACCACACGGTCCATAACAACATACACAAAGTTATTAATCCAAACCCAACACAAAACAGGTGAAAGAAAGATTTCAGTCATTACAAGTTCAAAAGTCGTGGCTTGGATAAGTAATACAAAGGAAACTGTCGATTTGTAACAGTAAGAAACAAAACCAAGAGCTTGAGTGAAAGGAAAGCCCTGTCACACTTACCCTCCATCTCCAGTGGCCAGCAACAATGTGATAGCAATCATTTGAGATGCAGTCTTGATTTTTCCAAGATTATTTACAGCGACGGCCTGCATGGAGGAATTGATTTATGGTGAGGATCATGTGAGGACGCAAGCTTTTGAAGCTATGACGAAAGAAAACATCTCTTTGCTCTTATCGCAAACCAGCCTGCCGGCAGAAAGCAATAGAGATACGAGAGTATGTACAAATGATGAAATTTCAGTGAGATTATAGTAAGTCAAGATACTAGGACACCTTAGCAGTCAGCTACTTCCATGATTTGCGCTTGGCCTAAGTCAAAAATCACTATGTAAAGTACACGTAAACGGTAGAAAGTAAAGACGGACCAACAAAAGCTCATCAAGGACGTGATACAGCACCTTTAGCACGTCTGCACCCTGAGCTGCTGCCCATTCTCTTACTGCTGACATGGTAATCTGCATAAGCCATTTCAAAACCAAGAATTAACGTAGTTGTTAGCCCAACAATATCTCTTTGAGCTCAAGCACAAGTAGCCTGACAGAGAGTAAATATATACGCCCAGCAACCTGCACCTCCCTGACCATCAAGGGAGTCTAAGCTTGGCATTCAGAATCAGCTCAAAGAATGCAAACATGAGGACCTGTTCAGCAACATGATGTACGAAATGAAAACATCTCCTTAGTATACTGAATCGTCTTAAATAACGGCTTCGTTCAGTTAGAGTGAGCAACGGCATATTAGTGATCTGGCCGGATGATAACTAACATCGATCAACGAATGACTCCACTCAGACCTAACATAGAGGCAGACATGAAATCTCTTCATCAGCTTAATGAAAAATGAGATCCAGAAGTGAGGTGTGCACCTCTCGACCAATAATTGCTATAGTAGGCACGGGAAGCAACCACGGAATGGTTGCAAATCCTGACATGGGCAGCGGTCTTGTACAAAGCAGCACTAGAGCTGCTGCTACCATTAACTGCAAAACAAAACGATAAGAGAAAATAAATGACAGTATCATTCGCCAAAAATAGGAACAAAGAGGAAGGATGAATATTTCGTGTTTCAAAGGAAAAAAGAGGAGAAATGTATTCACCTTGTCGGCCACGGGATCCAGGAAGGCTCCGAAAGCAGAGCTAGAACCCATCTGGTTTCGAACGAGTTCCAAAAGGACATGAGTGAACAAAATCAGAAAATTCCTGCTTAAAGAGCATCGAAACACCAGGTGACCAACTGAGCTTTAAGTGGACAAGTCAGAAAGCAAACTGTTGAACTGAGATCAAACTAAAACTCAAGCAAAGTAGGTAAACATTGGTACCTTTCGGGCAAGGTACCCATCGAGCCAATCTGTAATAGCAGCTATTATAAATATTGCTGCACCAGCTGCAGTAGCCCAGGTCTCCTTGCAGTAAAAGACTGGCAAACAAAATGACAAAGTTTCATATCCATGAGCACGTATACAATAAGACAAATGCTGAGCCATCGAAGGTCAGACTTCTCATGCATTGGCCACAATGTGTTCGTGTACAGTTTCATGCATTTATATGTTTCCATCAACCCGCGTGGCTAGCGAGTATCTGTGACCCCAAGTTGTGCCATCTAATTCTTTCTATTTCGTCGACGCGGCAATGTTTCGGACTTGAAAAGAGAAGCTTTAAGGATATAGTCCAACGACAAACGCCAGGTCAGATTGGTTATGATCATTATCATTGTGGAAATTGTGGACTCAATGAGTCGACGTTCTTACCGCAAGTATCGAATTATGACCAGAGCGACCTAAGACTTCCAGCCTGATTCTTAAATCTCGACCGAAAGAAGTAGTCCTCAGTCAAGACAATGAAGTATGTCGGTCGCTCCGACAGACATACTTCATGCCAGACTTAAGAGCTCAAGTCTTTCGCAAGCAAAAGGCTGAAAGTAGGTGGTCTCGAGAGCCCTTTAAGGTGTTTTTCAAGCAAGAGATCGGAACAGATGACAATTACGGTCTGAAGGAAATGTCGGTAAGTATGGAGGAAGGCAAGCACCTCCTCACCAGCGACATCACGATTCCGAAAGAACCACGAAATGCAGCGGTTTCTTATGAATTCTGATGCATAACTTTCAACTGCAATGTACGATCGGATCCAGTGCAAAGGGAGCAGGTCAAAACAACTTTCTGTGGAAAGGTCGTCTTCATGCTTGTCATCTTCACACTGATCGGATTCAGAAACCCGAATTCAGAGGCGAGGCATACCGGCAAGGATAGCAGGCACGGCGGCGACTCGAGCCAAGGTGAGAATAGTTGGAAGAGTTAGCAACTTTGTCGTGTGGACAGGTGGTGGTACAATGTTATCAGAATTCCCATTATTCATCAGTGGTGCTCCGCTCATGTTGTCATCATCGGCAAAAGCTCCGCGGGAGAACGAATTTTTCCGGGCTTGCTGCTCCAAAGCGCCTCCTGCACCTGCTCCTGCGCGCTTCCACCCATCTCCTCGACCGCGCATTGTGGCCAGCGCAAAGACGCAGGAAGCAGCAGAAGGCCGGCTTCGAATTTCAGTGGCATACCGGAATCGCGGACATTCGTCCACAAGGCCCCGAGCAGCAGCAGCAGCGGCGGCAGACAGAGGGACGGCAGCTGCAGCGGCAACAACGCTCGGCGCTCGACGACGCCCTGCTCTAAGCCGGAACAATTCGCCTCCAGATCGGCAGCGTCCGAGACATGCCTGGCCGATCCTCAGGCTCGCATCGGCACCACCACCACTGCTGCTGCTGCGCGTACTCCTCCTCCTCCTCGGGGCCTGCGAGCTGCTGCTGCTGCTGCTGCACCGCGACTCGCAGATGCTCGACGACGCCCGGGCCCAAGACCACCAGCTCGCCGCTCCGCAGTCGCAGGGACGCGTGCTGCCTACGCCTCGAGGTCGCGCTCGCGCCTCCGCGCCCGCCCTCCCTGTCCCGCCCCACGCGCCCACTAGCCCGCCCGCGCCCCCCCTCGCCGCGATGATGCTCATCTCCTCTCCCTCTCTCTGGATTAGCAGCTCCAGCAGCACCGCACGCACAGCAAGAGGAGGAAGAGGAAAAAAGCAAGAGGAGCAGGAGCAGCAGCAGAAGGGGTGGTGGACGCCCCAGGCCCCTCCCTCTCTGGTGCTGGTGCTGCTGCTGCTGCGCGACCCCGTGCAGTGAGCAGCGAAAGGCGTCGTCGTCCCCTCCTTTTGCGTCTCGTGTCTGGAGCATCTCCGCCACGTCGCGAGCGATTCTCTGCGTTTCGCCGCACCTTTCGCTCGTCGCTCCCTGCGAAAGTAGGAGGAGGAGGGAGGGAGGGAGGGAGGGAGGAAGGTCGCAGGGGGTGGTGGTGGTGGGCAGGCAGAGCTCGTCGCCCATTCGCCCCGTTCTGCACTTTCAGAATCTTCTTTGAAGTTCTTCCGGCCCGGGAATGCCGCGAGCTCGTCGCCGTGGATTTTGACCTCTTGTCCGTCGCTCTTGCCAGAGAAGCGGGGCGCCAGTCGGTCACTGCTGCTGCTGCTGCTGCCGCCGCCGCCATCGTCGTGGTCGACAACCTCCTCTTTATCTCGCGTCTTTGGGGCTCTGCCGTGCAGACAGACAGACAGACAGAGGGAGGCAGGGACGCCCTGCTTTTGTGCTTCGGTGGGCAGGGACGCTGTTGCGGTGTTTTCTCGGCGGAAGAGTTTGGAATTTTCGATTTTACGGCTGGTGCTCGGAGGTTCGTGCTCTTCTGGGTTTGTAGTCAAACCCAGGAGAGCCTCGGTGGTGATTTCGTAGGGAAGTTGCGGATCGCCCTCCGCTCGTGTTCTCTGGCGGTGACGATCGGGAGAGAGGATATGATTCACGGAGTGCCTGTGATGAATCTGCAATACTATCAATGGGCCTCGATTTCGCAGGTGGATGCTTGTCGTGAGATAATATCGTGACCTTCGCGCTGCGAATGTATGAAGAATTTCGTATGCGATGGTGGGAGCTGACGAGTGGGTAGTTCTGTAGTGCGTGAGTCTCCGAGTGGATCGCTCGAGCTGGTGGGTTGGAGTCTCGTGCCCTGCAAACCTACAATGATATGGGTGTCATAGATGTCCGCGGGCGGACCCATGAGATCGGAGGATATTCAGTGAGAGGATGTCCTGATTTTTAACGAAGTGGGAAGGCTTGATTGGAGTGGGCCGAGCTGGACGTTGTCGGGAGTTTTAGGCCAGTTTGGGTCGTGCACGTCATTGACGATTCGAAGAGGGCATTTGGTTGTGCGAAGCTTCGTTAACTGCTGGTATGTACTTTCACACTCTATTCTTCTGTCCAGCGGTGTTGGTATTCGAAACGCAGAGTCAGCCATTGTTCTTCTGGAAAGACTGCATGTCATGTGGGCTCTCTACGAGACCTTGCAGTTGCTCACAACGATGTCAGTAGTGATGTAGATCAAGCCACTACAAATACTTGATCTCATAGAAAGTATCTACAAACAGAAACTGCAGAATTTTGCATAAAACCTTGACCAAGCGGAGTCGGATAGCAAGTGCGTCACAGAAATATAGAAGCAAAAAATGCCCTGAAGAATAAATAAAACCAGCGATGCTCAGGAAAGTGGTTATCCAGACTACGTTCTTTTTTCTTGTCTCTGGGCCATCATCGTCTACCTTACGTGCCCTATTCGTCATAGCGTTGCTTGATTAAACTCCCTAATATTTTACATTTGTAATACTTCTATCGTCTTGTTTTTTACAATGTCTGCCATTTGACTCTACAGACGCATGTGCACTGGTCCAGCTCCTTCTTGAATAGTGTCTTATTTTCTTGTTTGACGTAGCAATGGCTACTCAAAGAGGCTTGTGGAAATTTGTTGAATTCAACAAAGGAGCCGCGTTTCGAGGCCATTGATATGAGATTTTTTCTTCATATACTGTTCTCGTGTGTGGCCATAAAGGCGAGGCCTGCTGCTTTCCCTGAATTTAGAAGTTGAAAGCAATCGGTGGGTGCTTTCGCATTCCCCTTTTAGTTCGGATTGAGGGGAAGATGCCATACTTGTCCGTCGCAAAGCGAAGAGTAGATTCATGCTTGATACGGGAACGAAGTCTTCTCATTTTAATTCTAGTTTTCTAAGGCTTAGGAACAAACCTGAACGTCGAACCATTTGAAAAACACGGAGACGCTCGAAGCCTTAGCTGGCTATTGAGCTCCATGTTTTTTCCGACTCAGAGTTAGAGGCGTGTCGGTGCACACTGATGAAGTTGCTGTTTCGTGTTGCACAGAATATGTTGCGCTCAAAGCAGTTTTTGCCCTTTGCCAAAGGAGCTAGAGCGTGGATTGTTGGACCAGCCGTCACAAAGGCGAATACCTTAGATAGCGCTAAGCCTTCTATCACAGGTACAGAAGATGGAACTTCGGAGCAGGGCTTCAACGCCAACAATCATGGGCATGGCTCCAATTTTCATATGCTGGTCCCTAAGCTCGAGGAAGTGGCAGTGGGACCAGTGCCAAAATCTGCCGAAGTTCCCGTGTCTGCGGCAGCATTCAACAGAATCCGTCAGCAGAGTTCCAACGGCACATTCATTGCACCGTCGGGCCTCTCCAGGAATTCAGGTGTCAACGCAGCAACGATCCCAAGCAGGAATGTTAATGTTTTGTTGAGCTGTCAAGGACACATTGCAGCGGAGAAGGCTGCCAAACATTCGTCAGAGGCTGCAAGTGTAGTAGAAGCTACTGAACCAACAGGGAGAAAGTTCAAAATCACATCAACAGTCAATGAGACGGAAGCAACTGGAGTTGATAACCTTCATGACGTCGCTTCGATATCCACGAAACTCAAGGATGTCGGTTTCGCAGCTGTTGGTCAGATTGGTCCTCGTACGAACACTTCAGAGCAGTATCCAAGCCCCAATGATAAATTCATCGAAACTCTCGACTCTCACACCGCGAAAGCCAGGAAAAGCTCAATCATTCAGCCTAAGGCTGCGGGTACGAGAGATGATACAAAGTGCCACACCTCAACGGTTCCAGCACAAGCAGGCGTAGGTCAACCTATCCACGGTACGAAAAATTCCTTCAAGCGTGCAGATGGAAGAAAAGCATCTGTCTTGCCGGCAGACCACACAATTTTTTTCGGCAGTTTAGACTCGCCCGTCTTGGTCCCGCACAGCCGTTGTGAAGACGAACCATTGCAAAGTGTCAAGATTGTTCCTCTGGGAGGTTCAGTGGCCGGAGGCTCTCAGCAGGAAGCAGGCAGGCAGGCTCGTTTAGTTCCCAAGAGCATCCGACCAGATGTGAGTGAAGGGCAGAAAGATCGCTTTTATAGGGTAAAAGACGCCGGTTCAAGAGGAGAGGTGAAGACAGGTTTTCCAGGCAATAGGAAGAAATATGGAGGTGTTGCGCAGGCCAGAAGCAATTATCATTCGAATCGGTCAAGAAAGGAACCTGGTTGGGAGGGTGCATCTAAGGAATTGGTTGATCAGGTGAGCAGCATTCTTAGACGCTTTGGTTGGACCACTGAGACAGTGGCTGCACTTGCCGAATGCGAAACAAAGCTGGGGGCTTACCACGTCAATGAGGTTCTAAAGCACCAGAGAGAGCCTGACCTGGCCTGGGAATTTTTCAAATGGGCAGAAGGGCAGAGAGGATACAAGCATGATGTACTCACGTACACTACGATGATTGGTATCTTGGGACGAGTGAAAAACTTCGTTGCATGTAACAGGTTGTTGGATAAAATGCGTAAAGAAGGCTGTCAACCGAGCGTCGTGACTTACAACAGGCTGATATTTTTTTATGGCAGGGCAAATTATTTGGGCGAGGCCTTGAAAATATTTCACCAGATGCAGGACGTCGGTTGTCAACCAGATAGAGTCACATACTGTACCCTCATTGATCTCCACTCGAAGTCTGGCCTCCATGACACTGCGATGGACATCTGTGACAAGTTGTTGCAAGCTGGTTTTCAGCTGGATACCTTCAGCTACTCCCTTATCATTCATTGTCGTGGTAAGGCTGGCAATCTCTCTGCAGCCAACAAGATGTTCAACGAGATGCTTGCTCGGGGTATCACTCCCAACTTGGTGACGTATAACACCATCATTGATTTGCACGCCAAAACAGGCGAGTATCCCATGGCTTTGAAGCTGTACAATGACATGCAGGACGCAGGACACAGACCAGATAAAGTCACTTACAGTGTTATTATGGAGGTCCTCGGTCACTCCGGTAATACTGACGAGGCAGAAGAAGTCTTTTATGAGATGGTTCGGGAAGGGTGGACTGCAGACGCCCCCACCTTTGGTCTTCTCGTAAATTTGTGGGGACTCGCTGGTAACGTTGAGAAAGCTTCTGAGTGGTATATGAAGATGCTGGGTTCAGGACTCACCCCAAATGCCCCTACAATCAATTCCTTGCTAGGTGCATACTTAAGGGCTCACCAGTACCCTGGAGCAATGCAGGTACTCGAGAGCCTGGCGAAATGGGGACTTACTCCAACCCTTCCAACTTACACCCTTCTCTTAGACAGTTGTACCACATGTGACAATCGAGAGGATGTCGACTCTGTGTTCGACTTGATGAGGAGCACAGGACACCCTGCTCATTCATTCATTTGTAAATTGTTAGACGTCAGTATAAATGAGTCAAGAGCCCATATTGAGCGTTTTTTTCAGAGTTTACGATTAGAAGACCAGGAAATGAAGAGGGGCTTTGCAGACGCTTTAATAGAATTCCTTTACAGATCTGAGCACAAGGCAACCGCTGGACACGTTTGGGAGGTTGCCTTGGAGAACAATTTGTATCCACTTGCCATCAGCCAGAGGGTGCCTAATAACTGGATTGTAGACCTTCATGTCATGTCAAGGGGAACAGCAGTGGTGGCCTTGTCCAGGACCTTGTCAAGTCTAAGGGAGAGAATGCTTTCAACAGGAGTAGTTCCTTACAGAATCGAGATCGTCACAGGATGGGGAAGACATAGTCGAGTCTCAGGTCTGTCTCGAGTAAAGAACGCGGTTCAAAACATGCTAGGTGCTCTGGGATCGCCTTTTTACATCGACAACGCCAATGTGGGTTGCTTCGTGGGCACTGGACAGCCACTAGCAGATTGGTTGCACCAGTCTGACATGGACCACAAGCTGGCTCTCTAGTCAAGCCAAAATGACTAACTGTACCATAAAGTAAATGTGCGGTGATATGCCTTGGTGTATGCTCAAGGTATTCCTCACCCACTCTATATATTAGTATTTCGGACTCTTTGCGTTGTGTAAATACTTTTCCTTACCGTCTGTCATTATTACCTCGTCAAATCCAGGAACGTGAGTTGAACAAATTTCATGCACTTTAACTCCAACTTGTAGTTGCTCGTCTTTAACGGACAACGCTGGACGTGGCTTCAACTGGCTTCGTCTGTCTTTGTCTCTACATCAGGTGCTGTAGTGATCTCAGACTCTGATGATTACCTCTATGTGTCTTGCAGCAATGGGAACGATGAGTTGTCGCCCGAAGGGCATCGAAATCCCGTCGATGCAATATAGCTGAAAGTTGCATTAGTCATGTGTCATGGAACCTTGAGCTGCTACCAGTGGTACGAATTAGTGCGGAACATGGTTGTGAATCGTGAGATAAATGAGTTCCAAAATTGAACTCTACAGGGACACGTCTTGCCTCTACTATTGAGTCATTATTTGTGAGTTGCTCGTCAGTTATCCACCACCAGAGCCCTATCGACGGCAGCTTATTTAATCTTATCACTATTCCCAGTCCGCAGCCTTGGTAGGCAGCGGAGATGGTTGCTGGTACGACGAGGTTTTAAGGAATGAAGTACTGAATAGCTAGGTTTTTTGTAGCTCACAGGCAACTTTTGACCTTTACAGCAAAGTCTCATTTTGCTGTCTTAACTTGTGGGCAGACATTGGACTTCAAACTCTATCTTTAGCCAACTGTACATGCATATTATTTGCAGGGCACTCAAGATACTTTACACGTCCATCGTTGTTTCAGGAAATTGATGTTTAGGGTAGTTTAGTAAGGTAGTATTCCTCGTCTTCAAGCCTCGGGAATAGATAAAGCATTCAAAGTTTTCTGCATCGAGATGTAAGATGCCTTCATGAGATCCAAGGCCGTGCACAATTTTGGTAGACTGTGTTTAGAAGAAACCTACATTTTTGCGTGTTCAGTACTTGGATGTCCATTAATCTTGATGGTCTGTCCAGAGTTCTAGTAATTGCACTCTTCATGCCGACGGGAAATCACTTCAGCTAGTTTTCCTTCTTGCGTGTTCAGGTCTTGGATGTTCACTACCTTCCCCATACCTCCGAAATGTTAGCAACTACTCTTCATGCATACGCTCTGAAGAACGATTGTCGAAATACAGAAGACTAGCTTGTCCAAGGTGTTGACTAAGCAACACAGTGGATCCTTGCCTGGGAGAAAATACGAGGAAGCCTTACTCGAACATACAGACGAAATCTTGAGAGCTTCGGTATTCTCTATGGGTTTAGGGTCGAGGGTTGCGGAACAAGAGTTCTACCTAACAATCTGTCGTCCTGTCTGGTCTTGATGGAGCGAAGAGAGTGGTTGTGCATTATAGTGTTGTTGTCACATGGGAGATGGATCCGTTAGGGGAGCAGGTGTGATAGTGTTGCGAATGCCTGGGTTGTACCTTGATATGTGTGACAGAACTCGAAAGTCCTAAACCTGAGATGTGTTCGTACCTTCCTTCAACACACCATCCATAGGAGAGCCCAAAACTTAAAACTTTGTCTTCAACCCAGCTTCATTGAATAATGAAGACTTTTTGTCGTCATTATCCACTAGCATCCTTCGATGGATGTTTATAATACATATTTCTATAGTCTGATGTTCGTCTAGCAGCAGCCAAGAGGCGAAAAGGTGACCTGCTTCAACAAACTTCCTCCAGAAGTTTATTCTTCTGGCGAAAGGACTTAGCAAGGAGTAATAAAGAATATCAACGTGAAGCCTTTTTCCTTTAAAAGAAGGCTCGGACACCTGACGATAACAGAAGTATTCTGAGTCAAGCCCCGTGAACCTTTCAGTTCTCTATCCCCGGACCCTTCACTTCTCTTTTCCGGGACAAGTCCTTCAATAAGGAGCACTGTCACAGATCCTGTAGGTGACAAAGGATGTAAAGCGTCGGTCACTGGTTGCCAGTAGTGTAGACCACCAACCGAACTCAGGAGGACAGAGAACATTGTCAGTGTGGTAGAGATGCCGCAAATGGTCTGTCTGACGACAGTCCTCGCTATGGAGGAGACCGCCCAATTTACCGTCTTGGGCTAGGCTGAACAATACCTGCTATCTTGAAGTACATGTCTTCTTTACAGTGTACATCCTGGACCCAGGCCTCTTTCACGTGAAGGATTAGCTCACACAGAAAAATGTGGGAGCGTGAAGCTTTACATGTGTTAAAGGACACTCGGGCTTCAGGGAATCTGGACCTCGTACAAATGCGCCTTAAGAAGTCTAGAGACCACCCTCCCTACCCATTTCCAAGACTCGGGTCTAGTATTCACAATCTTGGCACTTAAATCCATGGCATATGGTTTGTTCCCCAGGCTGCGCTGAGCTCCTTCAGAAAAACGGTGGGCTCAATGTATTTCTTTGGCAGCAGACTGTGATCTCATGGAGATTATGCCGAGCCCCATTCACGAGATTGGTGATCCCTACGAAGGTAACTAGGTGCAGAGCAAAGATTGCATATTTGCCCATTCAGGGTAATCTTCGCTGGTCGTTTGTTCGGACGCACAAACTTCCGAGTTTCTGCATTAGAACACTGTGAAGGATCTCTCTTCACCTCAACGACGTTGAGGAAAAGGACACCTTGCACGTCTTTGTTTCGATTTCGCTGAGGGGATCGATCCACGCGACTTTGAAAGAAAGGAGATGGTGGATCAGAACAAAGCGATTTGTGTGATAGGAAGGGTGTTCACGCCTGGAAACTCGACCACACTGCGTCGATCCAGAACCGTGAGGTCAAAGCATGAGGTAGAGGAACTTTTTTCAGTCCGGTATCTTCCAAGCCATAAGGGGTGGCAGACTCCACCCCCTATGGCATGGAAGAGATCGCACTGAGCAAGCCTCTCTAAGCAGCAGCAGCAGAACTGGAGCTTGATAGAAACGAGGGAGCAGCTCGAAAAATCACAACTTGACTCGTCGCGCTGTGATGTGCTATCGTCTCTCATCTGAAGAAAACTGTCTCGAGAGCGACCTTAAGCCATTAGACCTGGCGGCGCTTGATTGCCTTTCACCGAGTCCCGGGAGATACTCGAGGGTGCAGGTGAGAAGAAAACGTAGACCAACGTCATTCAGGCAGAAGCAACAGCGTTCGTCGATATTCCTACAGCTATAGCTCTGCGCGTACCTTCGACTCCAAGTCTGCACAGAGTGACTTCCACTGCATGAGCAGAGCAAGGAAGTGAAGGTGTTCCGAACCAGGATCCAGGACCTGAATTGTCTTCGTCTGGCCCGTCAACACTAAGATTAGAGATAAGACACATCTGGAAAGGTAAAGTGAACAGGGAACCGAGGCTCTTCTCCGAGGACGGGAATTTACAGGAAGGAGCCACAATTGTCGGGCTCAAGCAACCTCCCCACACGATCCGAGTGAGAGCTCGAGCAGGCCTCTCGCATCCACTTGGCCCCGGGTATGTCATGACTTGTGGCACCACATGAACAGGTGGCTGACCCCACAGACAATTCAGGACGAGGCAACATTCTCCACATCGCCGCGATCTAAATAAATAAACAAATCTCTTTGCCATTCCCTTCCTTTCCGATACCAGCTTGTATTTTCGCAGCACCATCACATGTGGAAACTCCCGGGGCACATGAGAGAACGACCGGGGCACTTCGCCTGCACATGGCGAGCTGCTTCTTGCCCTGCTCTCTCCAGTCCGTCATTAACCCAACCATCCGGCCGGCCAGCCAGCCAGCCGGCCAACCATCGGCTCGGCTCCACAACACCTCGATGCTAATTTGACCGAGGAGATCCACCTGTCTCACCATATCCTGCGGACCTCCTCCCCCGTTCCCAGGACAAGCTTCGCGTCTTTCGCCTCACCGAGGTCGACGTTATATCGATCAATCAGAGGAGGGCTGCTGCTGCTCCTCCGCAAGGCGAAGTCGAGACGAGAGCGCAGATCAAGAGGAGGAGGAGGAGGGGAGGGCACCATGCACGGCGAGTCCATCCACGAGACACATCGCAGCGCAAAACGACCGCGCGCTTCCACGTGCACCTTCGCCCTGAGAGAGAGCGCCAGACAAGACAAGACAAGACGGACTTGCCATCGACACAACCTTCTCCTCCCCTCCCCTCCTTTTCCATCCATCCATCCATTCCCGTCATCGTTGGGTCTGTTTCGCCGTCCGTGCAAATGCTCTCCTCTGTGCTCAATGAATAAAACTCTCTCGTCGTTCGGTCCCATGATTTGGCCATTTCTTGCATTATTGCAGCCGAACATTTTTTCCCCTACAAATGTGAGACACTAAGTCTACAGCTGTCGATTCTTTTCTAAATTTTTGGGTCAAGCCATGCAGCTCCTTCTGTTTTCTGCTCTTAGCGCCAAGAAAAGGGTTATGGCCCATAACTTATGGGTCATTTTAGAGAACATCTTGTCTCTGTATGATGAACCGGGGCTAATGGGGCAAGGGAGATAGAGAATGAAGAACGGAACTCTAAGAAGCGCGAATCTACAGTATTGGGACAGGAATGGAGGATGGGGACAGAATTTTCGCGAAGAGTATGATTGCTAGTTACCAGATGTTCTGTGTTTAGTCCCTTCAATCCATTTGCTGCATCAAAATACTGAGCTTGAGATCAAATATACCGTGAGTTCAGGACGGTAATTTGATAATTAACAAATTTTAGCTTTTGGCTCTAGCCCCAATACATCTATAAATCAAGAAGAAACAGCAATAGTCGATATTAACAAGTCTATACTAGATGATTCTCTAAAATTATGCAAACATGTAAAATGCATTCAATCGTTCATAGTTTAGCCTAAACACCATTCCACAATTTATAATGTCAAAATTCAACCAATGGCCAAAGTTACAGACGGTAGAAATTCATCAACTCATCAGATCCTGAAAAAAAATTTGCAGCTCTGAGAAAAAGGGATTTTTGGTCTGAATACCATAATCATTTTATATAAGAATTTCAACCAATTCTGTTTCATCAAATCCTTATCAAAAAAATAATTATATATTTTTGAGTTGATTTACAAACGATGCCAACTGTAATAAGAAAAATTCAAATGACTAGATATAATTTATGACAGAAATTATATAATAAATTTATTCTACAGATATAAATATATATACATACATGACAAACAAATGAAACATTCAATCGTGATAAATCAGTGAGGGTTAGCACCACCTTCATGTTTTGAAACTATTATTATGGACTGATAATGAAAAGTCAATTTTTACGAATCACCATTCAGGGGTTCGATTAAGTCTCCCTGATTCCCTTAAAGAATCTAACAAAAAGCCGAATAGAATTGTTACCTCAAATAACCGAATTTTATATATATAACCTTGGGACATATATATATATATATATATATATATATTCAAATAATTTGATTTTTTTTTATCAAATTCCTGTTGGACTTTGAATACATATTTAATTTCATAGATTAATTATGCAAACAAACTATTTCAATTCTTGATGTTGACATTTTTACAAGAATTGATTAATTATTGATATTTTTATGCGTTGTTACAAGACAATTTACATATTATCACTTTCATTCATAAAACACATGATACTTTAAGAACAAAACAGATTTTCCTTTAAGTTTAAAAAATTCGAATGAAAATGAAAATTTAATATTTGTAATTAACTATAAATATTTAAACTTTATTCTGACAAATATGTATTTTAACAAAAATCATATAAATTTGTTTATTTATATTTATCTGATTTTATTCTAAATATAGATTTAATTCTTACAAATAGTCATCTCTTTTGGTTTTATTGTTTCATGATTTAAATCATAATGCATCAAAGTATACTGCAAAATCCAATATATTTTTAAAGAAAGTTCAAAAACTTAAACTCGTCATTGTAGACTCAGTCTTCGCATTTTAATTTCAAACAATTAATTCATTTCAATTTCACAATTAATCTTTTCGTGTTAAAGACACAACGTTGCAGCCGTATTTTACTGCGTGGTTGATTCGAGCTTATAAAACTAAAGACTTCGGGCAAAAGAC